TCAACAACATGGAGAAAAGCACAAAATAGAGAATGAGCAGCAAGACAAAAACAAACAAAAAATGCTAACGTAAAAAATGATTACAAGAGAAGAATTAGTGTCAACATGGATGCTTGCCTGAAGGAGAACGACCATTGGGGCTTAGGGGAAATCGTCAGAGACGATGATGGAATCACCATATTGAATAAATCCAACAAAGTCTATGGCAATACATATGTTTTTGCAGTCGAAGCGATATCCATGAAATCTGCCATGAATTGTATGAACAGAGAGGGATGGGAAAATGTTTATTTTGTTTCGGACAACAAAAACCTCATCAAGATCATGAATGGTAAGGAAGAAGACATGCCTAGAACTAGCGGAGGAATCACGTGCAAATGCATATGGAAGATGAAGAAGAGCTTTAGGGAAATCAGATTTCGTCATACGGACAGAGAGAACAACCAAAAGGCACATGAGCTAGCTAAGGTTCTTGTGAGAAACAATGTTAGTGGAGACGGACCTGAGACAATTGGGCCTAACAAACAATCTAGTGATTTAGGTTAACTTTGTGTTGTTTCGGACCAGAGTTTTTGTTGGTCTGGTTATAAAAAAAAGGATTTTAATTTTAAGGACTAAAACCAAAAAAAAATTAACATTCAGATATCATTTCAAGAAAAATAAAATACAAGGACGAAAAAAACATACAATCATACAAAGACCAAAAAACTATTTAAACCTATTTATATTTATTGAATTTAATATATTATAATTATTTTTTATTTTTATTTTGAAGATATAAACATATTTTTAAAATTATTAAATTAATTAGTAACATTAGTATATATCAACAATTTTTAATGAGTTATTTAGTAAGAATAATATAAAAATAATGTAATAACATATCAATAAAAGACATGGCAAATAATTATTTGTGATTTTTTAGAATGTATAAATTTTTTTTAAAAATAGATGTGTGTAGTTTGAACACATAGCACAATCCATATTTTATTAAATATATATTCATGTTTTCTAAGCAAGTACAAATTTATCCTAAAAAAATGTACACATGTCATAAGATAAAAAAGTATAAATAAGGGTTGTTTGATATTTTTGGTAGTAATTTGTTTGCTAAAATTTATATACAAATTTTCCTAAAAATTGTATACATGTCATAAAATAAAAAAATATAAATAAGGGTTGTTTGATATTTTTGATGGTAATTTGTTTGCTAAAGTTTATATAGAGATATTATTATATCAAATAAGAGAAAAACCTAATAATTTTTGGATAAAAGTCAGAGTCGGTCCTTTTGACTTTTAGGAACCCGCTAACCTGGCCTTATCAGGTGAATATTTTGACTATGAACGAATGTAAATGAATTTTTAAATTTAATAATATAGACGGATAAATTTAGGATATGACATTGAGATTTGAAAATTCAAAGTTTTTCTACCTTCAATGGTGGCTCAAGAACATATTCTTGATTTTCAGCTACAATGGGGGCACTGAGCTTGATAGCGAGAGGCAAAGTCTCCTTAAATTTCTTCTGGTTCTTAGTTTTTAAAGATGAAGCCATTGTTGGAGTTAATAAGCTTGAAGTTGAAAAGTTTGGAAAAAAGATTTGAGCTTGCAAGTTATGAAAATGGAGAAGAAGAATAAATGAAGTAAAAAAAGGGTATTTATAATAGTGAAGGAAAAACTCTTAATTTTTTTGCAATTCAGACAAATGACGCCATCTTTAGGGCACATGACGAGCACCTATTGAGTGGAATCAGGCGATTTGATTTTGTGGGCCACGTTGTCTTAGGAAGTTGGAGCTAGTAAGTAGGATAGTGGTGGTTTCATATCTCCGAATCGACAGTTGATGGGAATGTCATGATGACAATGACGTAAGCGCACTACATCAAATAACATGGAAGAAAGATCGAAAATGTCTCATCTTTCTCCAATCGAAAGAGACATTTTGGAGGCAATTTGTTGGATGGGATTTTCGACAAGACTCAAATTCGAGCATAGCAAAGGGGAAGGTGAGGAAAATTTAGTGAAGATTTGGTGATGTTCAAGAGCATGGTCGACATACACGATGATGACTTTTCGACACGAAGGTGGTTGACAAAGATGTCAAAATCTAGCCTGGAAAAAGAGTTATCGACTTAGTAATTTTCTAAGCAACAAATGAAGACATTTTGACCAAGGCAGTTGAAAAGTACAACGTGGCTGAATAACCAATTTTTGCCTTGTCCATATTAAAGAGATGTGTGGAAGCAATTTTCGAAGCAAAAGACATGCAACAGAGAATGTGGCATTAAATGGAGAAAAACCTTCCCTTAACAGTTATCTAGATTTCAGTATAAATAATAGTTCTAACGGTAGAATTAGGGTGTCAAATTTACTATCAAACTCACAAAAATCAGAGTACCAAGCGAAGAGAGAAATGAATTACAAGAGTGCAATGTACATTTGATCACAAGTTTACATTTATGCAAAGCTTTACTTCTGAATTTACATTTCGTTTATTGCTCTTTTCCACTGTCGAACTCTTTACTTTTTCAGTCAAGTTTCACTTTAACTTGTTTTACTTTCATAACGTGATTTCGCCCACTGTCAAATTCATTCATACTTTTATTACCTGCACATTATTTGGAAAACTTCATGGACATTGTTCTAAGACTCCCTAGTCGGTCTTGCAAGTAAACTTTAATAAAAAACTAGCGATGTTTACCAAGTTTCAGGGTAAAAACAGGGCTACTTCCGCAGAGAGGTAATCTTTCCATCTTTGAGTATCTGATCCGACTGAATTTACACCCTCGAGACAATCAAATGATGGTGAAAATACTCCACTTGTTGTAAAGCATTCTTAAACGGATGCAAAATTTCCAAAAGGGTAACACTCATACTGTCAACCATCTATTGAGTCAAAGAAGGGTTTTTAAGGCACATAGACTCTAATTCTTCATAAGCAGGTGACAAACTTCCCCAGATAGAAGTCAAAGCCTGGTTCTTCTTCGCCATTGTCATTACTAGATAGGTCACCTAGTCGGAGAAAGGCTCAACGAGATTAAGGGGAAGCAAAACATTCTCCATCTCAGTAAGAGAGGTAGAAGCCTTCTTTATTTCATGTAGGTATTTATCCCGCTAAAGCTTCAATTCACTAACGTTCTCCTCCAACCTCTGCTTTTTAGCATAATATTGGTCGAACCAAAGAGCTTCCCAATGGCCAACTCTGCCAAGCGCCAAAGTAGAAGAAACACACCGGGTATACTGAACCAAAGTAGCAGGTTCTTCCTTTAGAGCAGGCCCAAACAGATTATCCAAATAGGAGCAGTCTTTGTTTGAAGAAGGATTTCAGCGACCTTCATCAAAACGAGAATTAGACCTCTCGTCAGCAGTGGTCGAGAAGTCAGACATTGGATACTTGGGAAAGTCGACATGATTTTTAAAACTGCATCACTCTCGACCATCTGTATTCCCCTCCTCATAAGTCGGAGATGTACCTCATTCTTCATATTCCTTGCATAGAATTATTGTCAAAGTAAATATGTCATTCTTTATCAATAACTCTTCCATCTTTATGAGAACGAGCCTCTATAAAAATCAGACGTCGATAAGGCATTGCAAGCATTTCTTGTCAGCCTTCGCCATGAGGGTACCTCTTTCGAGGTATCCTAGGCTGCTGCTGAAATTCAGCAACTGTTTCTTCCGGTACCGATCCCCTCATCAAAAAGTTCCTCTTCCTTGTATGCGTAGATGTTCTTCTCCATCAAAAAGAGACCCCCGGTTCAATACTCAGGGAACAACTCAAAACATTTTATGTAAAATCTCTTTTAAAAATATTTAGAGATTTATCTATTTCTCTATCTAATCATCTCCTTTAAAAGGCCTTCGTTGTCTTTTCCTCTAAACCCTCAAACAAAGTTTAAAGAGTACAAGCAGTTAACACCTTACTTTGATGCAAAATTTAAATTTTGCGAGTCTTGATGAGACTCGTAACATGCGAGACATGTAATAAGAAAGAACACATCAATTTATTTGAGATGTGTAACCCATAGACTGTCAAGTCATCAACCAACACTATTATTGACCATTTATCAAACAATTAAAACTTAGGGGTATATAGGTAAACTTTCCATCTTGCTAACAAGGACCGTAAGTCATCATAATTTCAATATTCATGAAGAAAATACAGAAGAATTCAACGTCAATAATGAAACTGATAGAAAAGATAACTTGTGAGACACAACTATAAGAAATGATGAACTTCAACATACATTATATTAGTATGAGTAGCTAAAAGAATGAATATTTCTAACACGTGATATATTTATACTTAAATTCAAAGTAATGTCAACCAACAAACACAAATTAAATCGAATATCAGATAATATAAAATAATTTTAGTGCGCATGTGATTTCTAATACATATGCTTTGAATAATAGAACAAAGTAATTATCATATATAAAAAAGAGTAATTACGAAAAACAAATTAACATATACTTAAATTTAAAAGTTTATTCCCAACCAAAAATATGACTTAAATTCTCTAGAATTTTAATTACATCTTCAAATAATCTTTTAAATTCCTTTAAATTTTTAGAAATTAATCTTTCAAATAAACCGCAAAATACGTTTTATTCGGAGATACTAATGCATAAGAGAATTCAAAATACAAATTCAATTCAGAGATATTTTCAAAATTCTTCATCAAATGTATAAGACAAGCCACTCAAATACCATAAGATGGCCCTTTTTTAGGTATAAATAACATCACTCTATTAACAAATGAATATAATAATAAAATATCGTATGATATTTATGTAGACAGAAAAGCCATACAATTGTCGAACCTATAAAGCGAGTACATCAGTTTCCACACTTTGCTTCAAGCCTCTCAGATATTTATCACTTTTCCTCCCTAAGATATTTATTTCATCACATCACACAATAAACCCAACCTTTAACAACCCTCGTTAAATTCCCATTCCCATTCCCAATCTCTCGTAAATTCTATTCCGCTGCTATGGACTCTTCTACGACGTCGTTTTGGACTGACCAAAAACACGTTAACTACCTCAACACAATGGAAGCTTCTTTCGTCCGTGCAATGTTCCAACACAAATCCTCTTCTTCAAATCACAACCCTCCGATTCTCAGACTCGATCGCCACCTTCCAGATTCCTCTGAATCAACCCTTGATTTGAAGCCTCACAACCGAGGCCGCACCAGAAAATACCATGCACCCTCCTCAGGTATAACATCGTTTCATCTCTTCTATTCTCCTTATCCTCCACCCCCGCGCATTTTAGCAACCATCGGTTTGTTATTAAGGCAGCGTTTGGATTTCACATTATTTTATTATTTAACTTATTTTTGTTCAAGGAATTATCACTGCCGGTCGGTTGACGTTGCCAACTTATGCCTTAGATATTTTTATATAATATTGATTAAAAAATATCAGTGATATTAGCTACGAAAAAATCATTTCATATATTTTTTAAATTATAGAATTTTATAATTTTAATGAAAAGAATCTAGCTCTATATAATACTAATAAAAGAGATATTTGTATGTTACAATATTTTTAATTTTCTTTTTCATTTTTTTTAATTATATGCTATAATTTAAATATAGAGAATTGATTGATATGCACTCAAAAATATAAAAATTGTTTTGTTCAGGAACTTAATTCACATACATTGATAAAAATGAAAACAAATTACAATGGTTAATCGCAATTTTTTTAATTATATATTTTTGAAACGTTTCAATAAATATTTATATTTATGGCTGATTAATGATGGTAGTAATTTTATTTTTTGAAAAGTATCACTTTGAAAATATCTCAGCTTTTTTTAATATATTTTTATGATGAAAAAAATATCTAACGTGTGATATTATTAGACCGACTATGTTTTTATTTTTTGAGATGGTTCACTTTATTGACTATTTTTTAGCCTCTCCTTTCCACAGATTTGATTGGTCCAGCAACGAGAAGGGTGCGGAGGAGAACATCTCAGCCGTTCAATTCATCACAAGATCAGGTATCTACGTGTTCCCATGTTTCAATCTTTTTTGTCCAATTAATTTTTTTTGTGGTACACAATTTACTTTTTCATAATTTATTTTTACACTTCAAAGCTTTAAATTATTTTCTAAGATTTTATTTAAACTGACAAATGGGTGATTGCCACGTGTAGGTGGTCCCACACGTAGAAAACGAAAGCAAAGGTGGTTATAATGGTGACAGCGACAAAGGAGCAGATAGTTAATGTTTATTGTACTTCTTCTACTGATTAGCAAGGATTCAACAAAAGAGATTCACATTTTTATTTTTTTCATCGGTAGTTTATTATAATGATTCTATCTCCTTTGATTTAACTTCTTAATTTTAAAGTGTATTTAGATGAGTTTATTTTTTCTTTCAAATCTTATTACTTCTATGTGTTATTTGAAGGATACAATTAAGATTACGATTAAAAGTTGTAAGGAATGCAAATAACAATCGTCATAGTTATTTGTGTTCTATTTTTTTGGTTATATTTTATTTATTATAAGTAGTTATTAGGTAGTTTTGTTAAAGTTAGTTAAAATTTATTAGTCATGATCACTATATAAGGTGTATTATGTACTCATTGTAACATTGATCTTATCATTTGTATCAATATTACACAATTAAATATTTATTTTTGGTTTATATCTCTCTCTTTTTTTAGTTCAATTATGTTTTTGAACATGGTATCAGAGATTGCCTGCCACAATAAAGAAAAAGTAAATCTACTTATCTAGAAATAATCTCAAATAATCTTATTCTTTATTTTAATTTTTTTCTCTCATATTTTTATCTCTTTTCATCATCAATTCTTTATTGTACTCTATGATAGTAATTGAGTTCCTGTGATTAAATGATATATATATATATATATATATATATATATATATATATATATATATATATATATATATATATATATATATATATATATATATATATATATATATATATATATATATATATATATATATATATATATATATATATATATATATATATATATATATATATATATATATATATATATATATATATATATATATATATATATATATATATATATATATATATATATATATATATATAATGTTTTAAAGTATTTTGACAGTATTTATGGTTAATTTACGTATAATAGTGATAAACTCTGTATATGTGTTTTTGGAGAAAATTGGAGATTCCTCCTCAACTCTAAGGTTTAGATATTTATAAATACTCCTTAGGTATGAGTTAAAAAATGGTTACCTCAGCTCATCCATCAAAAAGGTGGAGAGCAGAGGATTATTCTTCCTAAGATTATGGAGAAGGTGATTATCTTCTTTGACATTTTCTTGTAATTCGTTGTGATGGGACACCTCATCTCCCACGTCTATTGGACAAGTGGACAATGGGAATGAATTCAGGTGGACTAAGCACAATCGGGCATGTTGTTACTAAGATTACGGCGACCTCATGGCATATTTCGGGGACCTATGGCTTCGTAGAACAATTCATCCCTCACTAGTGCATTTTTTCCTTTATTACATAAACTATTCCTTCACTAGTACAAAATCTCTCAAACACGAGGATTTAAAAAAGATGAAGTGATTAATTAAAACGCTCACAGCCTTTATATTTGAACCAACCCAAAAAAGCTATTTAGATCAAATACAGGGCGAGTCCCTCAATAGAGATATGTAAAGACGAGTCCCTCAGGTGAACCTTTAAGTTGAGTCCTTCAGGTGAGACTTCAAGTTAAGTTCTTCAGGGAATACTTTAGGATGAGTCCCTTAGATAAGACTTTAAGTTAAGTCCCTCAGGCGAGATTCTAAGTTGAGTCCCTCACGAGAGACTAGTAAAGGTGAGTCCCTTGAGCCCTTGCTTTGTACCATTTGTTTCATTGCCCCGTTAGAGGGGTTATGTAGTAATGTACTTTAGGATCTTTATTAATTAAATCATTTGGATTCTATTGCGATTTGTATTATTTCATATGGATTTATTTCTTTGTAAATTCAATTAGATTCAAGGTTTATTTCCTTGTGTTTCCCTAACCAAGTAGATTTCCCTCATGGGCAAGTCCCTTAAGCCTTGCATGGGCGAGTTAAGTCTTCTTTAGCAAGAAGGAAAATAGTGAGTTGTTTGATGAAAAGTGGAGATCTTTCAGTAGATATCCATTATTCGTATTGCCCTTGAGGGAGACAAGGATCCTTTAGTGAAGGTCCAACGTATTATCAACTTGTAGGACATAAAGGATCATTCAAGGAAGGTCTAGCGTATTATCGCCTCGTAGGGAGGAAATGATCCTTTAATGAAGCTCCACTATATTATCGCCTCGCTGGGCAATAAGGATCCTTAAATGAGGGTCCATAATATTATTGCCTTGTAAGGCATAAATGATTCTTTAATGAATTTCTAGTGTATTATCACCTTCTAGGGAGGCAATGATCCTCCGACAAAGGTCTAGCATATTTAATTTCCTCATAGGGGAAAAGAATCTTTTAATGAAGGTCTAGTGTATTAACGACTCAGACGGTAGAAAATATCCTTCAATGAAGGTTCATCGTATTATCACCTCGTAGGGTGCCATGATTCCTTCATTAGAGGTCCGACATTATAATTTCCTTGACAAGGACATTAATTCAAGTTCCAACATTCATATTGCCTCTAAGGGTGGCAAGAATACTTCATTTAAGTTATAGATATGTGTATTGCCTCTAAGAGCGAAAATGACAATTCATTGAAGTTCTAGTGATGTATATTTTCACTGGGGACGCCAAGGACACTTCATTGAAATTTTAGTGATGTATATTTTCACTAAGGGCATTAAGGACACTTCATTAAAGTTCCAATTATGGATATATGTGTTTACAGTTATTGTGAAGATGGTCCAAGGTGGTAAATTTAATGGTTAGGAAAGCTCCAAGACAACTAAGTAACTTTTAGTTTTCACTAAGGGCATTAAGGAAACTTCATTAAAGTTCCAATTATGGATATATGTGTTTTAAAATTATTGTGAAGATGGTCCAAAGTGGTAAATCTAATGGTTAGGAAAGCTCCAAGACAACTAAGTAATTGTTTAGTTTTCTATGATAGTAATTGAGTTCTTGTGATTAAATGGTTCTAAAGCTGGTTATTTCATAGTTTGATTTTTTATCTCATTGTTTAATTTTTTATCTCATGGTTTTATCTCTTTTCATCATCAACTTCGGACTGCACCCAAGTTGGTCATCTCACAACGTCCTAAAGGCCAAGTTGGTCAAGTAAAGGTTCTAAAAGTTCATTAGTGCTTCATGACATCACTCAACGGCCCCGTATTATCCCTGACTACTCAAGGGCTACCGGTACCCACAAATATGTCGCACTAACGTAGCTATTGCTTAGACCGTGTCGGTATACCCCACACAGTTTCCACAATGTATTGCTACTTACCTATAAGGTATCCCAAATCCGGGTGGAGGATTCAAACCCAAACAAAGAACCATAATGTAAAGCATACAAGTCAAACAATGAAAGCAAGTAAATGTGATCTAACCCTAAGGTAACCCCACTTTTATAACTTTATCCCCAGCAGAGTCTCCATTTCTGTGGTACGGTGGGAGAACTGACTTGGTGTTTTGCGTTTTATCGCAAATGTTGCGGTTAGCAAGAGTCGCCACCGGCTTTTCTTTTATTCAAAAGGAAAGGTGAAAAAGCACAGGAAAGACCTTTGAGATTGTTTCTTGAGTTCGGGGGGTAGATTATGAAAAGGGAAGGTATTAGCACCCTTTTCATCCATGGTTTTCCGTGGGCTCTTAGTTACTTGATAGATCACTTGCTTTTGTTTGAAATTGTGCTTTGTGTGGTTTTTTAAAAGTATTTTAAAAAGGCGCCATCGTTTAGGCAAACTTTGTAATAGTTCTCGTTCGTAAGAACGTATACAAAATGTTGAGCTTTTGAAAATGTTTCAAGTTTGGAAGATGTTTTGAAAGTGTAGGTGTTTGTTTTAAAAATAGCAAGGATGTTTGTTTTGAGATGGAGCAAGTAATTAGGAGCAATCTATCTACTCAAATGTCTTTCTTGTTCATTTTCTTTTCCTTTGACATTGTTATCTTACCATTGATTTGGTAAGCAACCCTATCTTTGGATGTAAACAGGACGGGCGTGGGTCATCGTATAGTCATGATAACAATGTTGTGGGGTATCTTAGCATTTTTTCTAGGGACTAAGATCATTTTGAAAGGCAACATTTATAGCATCATCGAGGGACTATGATCTTGTATTTCAATTGTTTTTGCTAAGACATCCCACATGCATAACATGACCATTTTTTTTGGCAACAAGTGGAGTTAACCTTAAGGGTGCATGTGTAAATAGTGTGTTTGATTTTCATGTATTTAATCCTCGATAGAGTTATCTACTTGTTGATTTTATCTTGCCATACACACCCTAGTTACTAACATTTGCATTTGAAAGCGTTAAATTGTGGAAATGTAAAGTCCAACGCTATTACATCATTTAGGGTATGAGGGTAAAATTTAAAAATGGGGATGAAGTAAGAACATAAATATTACAACCATATCGAATAGTCATGAAGGAAACGTAAAAACAGTGTAAAAAGAAGGAAAAAATGCATTTTGAACTATATGTGTCGACACAAGCTCACATGCATCGACACATAAATTTCCTTGCCCCTGTATTGCCAAATCACTCAGTATGAGTCGATACATAATGGTACGTGTCGACTCATACACTGCATGTGTCGACTCATACATGCTTTGTGTCGACTCATACATTGTTTTTTTCTTCTGTTTTGGGCCTGTAAAGTAGTATGTATCGACTCACAAGGTTATGTGTCGACTCATACATTGTTTTTCCTTCTGTTTTGGGCCTGTAAAGCAGTATGTATCGACTCATAAGGCTATGTGTCGAATCATACATTGTTTTTCCTTCTGTTTTGGGCCTGTAAAGCAGTATGTATCGACTCATAAGGCTATGTGTCGACTCATACTGTCATTTTTTCTACTTCAACATTGTCTTGCTGCATACATGGGTTAGTTTTCAACACATAATGAAAAGAATGAAAGATAAACAAAAGGTTAGCTTCAAGGACAATGGTTACTACATTTTATCTTCACAAATGAACCATTAATGATGCTTGTATAGAGAGTTCAAAGTCAAGAAAACTTACCTTGAAACTGAAATTTGTGCTTTGAGTTTGAGCTGCTGTATGGGTTGTTTGTTGAGCTTGGGAAGTGATGATAG